TTTTCACTCATATGGGGACGTCAGCACTTGCTGGTGCAGAGCTGTATATTCTGTCCTATACTTGGCACTGAGTGCCATTGCGTAGGGAGGGAACTTTTTCATGCCAGCACCTACTGAGACACGGGACCTCGATCAGTTTATACAGTCTCATCCTATGGAGCGGTCTTCCCCTATCACAGACCTAGGAGTTTGATTTACTCTTTAAAACTTTAATCTCGGCCATAACTTTTGAACACGAGGCACTAGCGCTTTTATACTTCACAGATGTATTCCTCGTGACAAGACCTTCCTTCGGATACCAACAATTTGACCTTGATCTTGGAGGCTGACTGCATTTAAGAAACTTCAACCCTTGCCATAAGCTGCCAAATGGGTGCATCAGTGCTTCACAAACAAAACTTGTTTTTCCATATAAATATATGACCAATAAATGTATTTTTCAAGACAGCCCTACCCTGGAATAGTTTTTGTGCAACCAGCCCAAGCTGAAATATTCATCAAACTATTAACCATTGCATTAATTAGGTTATGGAGAGGAGGTTGAAAATGTTAAAAGTTAACATTCAGACTGACTGACAGATGAATGCCATTCAATACGTCATCAGAAAAAGCTCACAAGGTAAGGTGAGGTTAAAAACAAAAGGAAAACCTCCGACTTTTAAACATATTTATTAATCACAAGATGGATTGTGAATTTTTTTCTTAATCTAAAGAAACAACAATGACTTAGACATTGATAGAGGCAATAAACTTTGCATCCTTACTGTCAAGAAATAAACTACATATCAACTTGTACTTCAACGAAAAATAGGCAAACTTAATAAACATGATATCAATTTCCTGGTATGATTTCATCTTAATAGAGGAAAGCAAAATGAAACAGTATAGGCATTGCATTATAACTACTGAATGTACAATATAATCCAATACTTGTAGAAAACATAGCATAAATCAGAGACACCACTCAAAACTTCATCTTTATCCTATAAGGCACAGCAATAAATCTGAAAGGTGTCTTTCTGCATTGTTCTCTTTATACTTCATACACTCCATTCCATAAAAAGCAAATAAAACAACCTCTGCATTTTTCTTCCATAATTTCTTTTGTAAAATGACAATATTTAATGTGTTTCATTTTAATACTTTATAGTATAAACTGTATATGGAAATTTCCATTACCTGTAACAGTAAAGTCTTAATAGCAAAAAAAAAAACAAAAGGACACTTTATCTATATTATTCTTGATACAACAGTTAGAAATTTTTGTCCCTGGATAGCTAAGGTTCTCATGTATGTTTTTATTATAGTGAATTTCAACAAATGATATACTTAAAGTATATCTGTTCTCTTAGCAATTATGTTAAGGACAACCAAATGGTACAAACAGAAGCTAGGGGAAGGTTCCTTTCATTTAATGTTTATAACCCAGCTACATATACCTGTCATAGTACAGAGAGATCAAGCAATATTTTAATGTAAATAAATTGTATGAATGATTTCAAAGACAACAAAGAGGCATCATAATCTTTAGAAATAAATAAATAAGTTATATATTCTGTGGAAAAATGAAATTTTTTTTAACAAAGCTATCATGCGTCTTAAAAAGGGTATAAAGCAAACATGGATATACAGCACTATATACCTAGGATTTATTATACATTACACACAATCATGTGTATTACTATAAGTAAAGCTAATCACCACTGTTTGAACTAGCCTTCGTGATGGAATAATCACTGTTCTATGACCATCAAAACAATGCAGAAATTTCTTAGTCTTTTCTGTGGTATTGTATAACAAAATATAGGTTTAACAAAAAAGTATTTTGATTTTTAGCAGAGATATAGAACTCAGATGAATGTAAAGTCAGATCATATGTTGTCATTTGAGGAAATAGTTAAGCAATATTTAAGTTGGGTGTAATCTTAAGAAACATTGATAGACATTACAGGAATGTTTTCTAATGTACAACTAGATTTGTGATTACTAATCTAAGTTTTTCTTACATTTTTATACTGACAAACCTATGTTCAAATATCACTAAATCTATAAGAACTTTTTATAAAAATAAACAATTTTGGTTTCATTAAAGCACCATCACCTGTATTAAATTATGTTCTGATTAGGGACTAAAATATCCGGTAGGATACTGTAAAAAAAAATCAAGGGGCCACATTGCTCACCTGAGTGTTGGTAGAAATTAGAGAAACACATTTAAATAATAAAAATTTCAATGTATGAATTTGTTACTCTTGAGAAAGAGATTTGTTACTTTTTCTTTAAATCTCTATGCTTATATTTGATCCCCTGTTGTGCCCCCACCCTATCCCTGGGGTTAGGTTTGATGGAACTTAAATCTACATAACATGAGGATGCTTTTGTATCAAAAAGACAAATGCTGGCTTTGCTGTTCTACAGAAGAAGGTTCTAAAATTAAAATTCTATATATTCCTACATATTAATATGTTCCCCCTATAATTGTCCCATCCTACCCTTGGGGATATGTTTACTTTGAAAAAAAAAAATTAAATATACTCTGTATAAGGCCAGATAAAATTAATCTTTAGATTCTCATCCTAATTTGCTAAAAAATTGGGGCGGGTGGGCGGATTTTATCTTTTTATTTTTTATAATTGTTAAATTGTAAGTATTAGCAAAACATGGACTCTTCGTACAGATTTTTTAAAAATTATCTTAATGCCAATATGAATAGATTTTATTCTTTTCGTATTTTTTTTAATTTTTAAAGAAGATTCTTGCTTTAAAAAATTAAATGTTAATTAACAAATTATCAAGTATACATATACTGCAAATGCCAAACAAAATGAGGTGGGATACCAATAAATTGTGTATGCATGGCTTTTCATCGGCCTTTCCCCAAACACCTTTTAGTTTTACCAACAAATCCCTCTGTTTTCTGTAAAATATCATAGATTTCCACCTTCCTCATAAATGTGATCATTCTTGAGACTTGACATATATGTTCGACATTAAAATAGGTCATACTTGCAAAATCTATAAAATATTCTGATAAAATATTCTACTGAAAAACCTAGGCCTGAACAGTTTTAAGATTTAACATTTCCTTAGCACTTAACATTCTCTGAAGTCTGCCAACAATGTTTTTTTTTCAAAGCAAAATCACACATAGCTGGGGATTGTTAAACCTTGACCAGGTGTCATTTTCTTCGATTGTCTATTTTTACTTTGTTAAAATCTCTCTCTCAAAAAAAAACTTACTCATGCCAGTGATAGTATCTAGATGTGTTTATGCTATTTTTTCTTCTCTCTCTTTCTCCATACTGACAAATTATCTTTTCCATACATATTTAAACTGCTTTTATTGCCAGAATTTTTCTCCATTCTTCACATGGCTCTTTTTATATAAAATAGCGGCACGCGACTTTTAATGAAGACAGGAGATAACACTTAAACTTGACCGAAATTCTTGCTGAATAAAAATACATGAAAATACTTTTAATACTCAAAAATCAAAAAAAAAACACAGGGGCGGGACATTTTGAGAGGGGCGGGTGGGGATGAGAATCTAAAGATTAATTTTATCTGGCCTAATGTGTGATGAAGCTTTCATTAAAGTTCTTGCACAGTGGTTCTTGAGAAAATTTCAAAAAGGTCATAAAATTTTCACTTATTTTAAGTGATCTCCCCTTGAAATAAGAAATAGGGTGTGGTCCTTTACATAAAATAAAATTAGATTCCTTTCAGGGAATGCTTTGTGGGAATTAAGTTTGGTTGACACTAGCTGAGTGGTTTAAAAATGTGAAAAATTCACAAACCACACATAACAAACAGATATAGAACAACCTTCAATCAGAAAAGCTTACTTGAGCCCTGGGTTCAGGTAAGCTAAAAATATTTCCTCTCTAAGAAAAAACAAAACATTAATACTTAACATTTCTCTAGGAAAATTCTGGACTTTCCGGGTACAAAAAAAAAAATTAAAGTTCATTTGTTTCAAGATGTTCAGATATATACATATTTACAACAAAATACAAAAAAAATCTTCCAAAAATGGAATGGATTTCCTTAACAAAACACACACTTAAAGACAGGGTTATAAATAGAGTACCTTCTTGTAAAATTGTCAAATCAGAGTATTATCAACAACACAAGGCTCTTACACAGAAAATTAAATAAAACACCTGTACAATATTATGTAATACAGTTTGTTATTCCTTAATATAACCAGCACCTTAATTTTTAATAACATCAACAATAAAAAGAAAATGTCAAAATAATTTTCAATTATACATCATTGCTTTCATCAAAAGCTTACAACACAACACACTGAATTATGCTTTCTTCATGAAATTGATGCTGATCATGTAGTTACAAATAAAAAAAATGCAGTACATGACACAAAGTGAAAAGTGATCCTCCAAGATTTTACATAGAGTACCTAGTACAGAAAAAACAATTAGTTCCCAAAATCAATCATTAGAATTAACAGTATAATTGACTTTTACATCATATTCTTAATAACAAAAGTGATTTATCATTCAAGAATTTCAAGCATATCTTTCATGTGTTCATTTACATACATAGTAACTTCCTCATTAAGCAAAAGTCAACTGATTTATATCCATAATGTCTCTACTTTAATCAAAATATCTAAAGCTTCTCTAGAAATCTACTTCTCTGCTTTGCTTGAGTAGCTCAAAGATTATTAAACCATTTGCTCATAAGATCTCATCAGTTCTGAGATATCCCAGTATCTGAATTGAGAACATAAAATATGATTTAACACTTTTTGTAGCTATATAACAAGCAACTATTTACTCTGTCTATTTGCACAATCAAAAGTACCTATGCTTTATTTGATATACACTTGCAAAAACAATTTTTAATATAACTCCCAGTTCTTTCAGTTCTTTCGCTGAGAATGCATATAGAAATATTAAAGTGTGAAGGGCATAACTTTATGTTTTGTATTCTGTTCTATTTCACCTCAGATAAGGGAGATTCATTTTTCCGTCTGTTCATTTCAACACAGTAGTATCTTCATCATCGTCGTCGTCATCTGCGTCGAGTGGCGCCATCTCAATCTGTCCCACGTCCGTAATCAATCCATACTTCTTTGACTTGTTCCTCTTTCTTCTCACTCTTATGTCAAAAATCAAACTTAATTAATAAATATTTCATAATTCACAAATAATTGAAGTACTTATGGTTATTTTGAAAGAAAAAAAATAAAACCCACATCACCAGAACACTGATTTTTTACATTGTTTTAAATTTCAATTGATACAATTACAGAACAAGCAATATGTTTAATTAAGAATTAAAATTCTGATATAAAAAAAAATGCAAAATAAAATTTTCATGTTTAATAATGCAGTAACAGATGATTAAAACTGCAGACAATTGAGGTGATCTCAATACATGCACACGTAGGAATTTAGGCTGGACTGAGGACATCGGCCTGGATAGCTCAGTGGTTAGAGTACCTGACTAGAAATACAGGGGTCCAGAGTTCGATTCCCCGTCCAGCCATATATTTTTATTTATATGTATTTATGAATTTTCAATGTATGTTTACTCAATCCTCCTTTACATACAGTACTGTGGTTAGAGTTTCTGCTCCAAATTTGTGGAGTAAGGAGTTGATCCTTATGTCATGGGTTCAAATTCCACCATGGGATGAGGAGTCTGGACCTTGGGATGAGACATTGTAAACTGTGTCCCGTGTTGCACTAGATGCTGGCATGTAAAAGATCCCTTACTCAGAGTTCTTGAAATCTTTCGGTCCTGTCGGCAAGACCGATAAAAACAACCAAGACAGTTAGACCGATCACTTTACGTTCTGTGTCAGTCCAAATGACCAGTAGATGTTGAGAAAGCAACTTGCAAAAATCCGACTAAATTTCGTACAAATTACCTATAACCGACCGATCACAATCTGTTAAACGCTTTTCAGTATCTCGTAATGGCTTCCTCGATGAACACAAGTACCAAACTATGATTGATTAATTGTTTTAACAAGTTTTTGATGGCGATAAGGTATTAGCCAGGTGAGAAAAATGAACTAGATTAAAAACTTATGAAGAAAATTGACCTCACACAAAAATTCAACGAAATTTGTTATACGATGATCAAATTCGCATGAAGTATGCAGTGTGTATATGACGGAGGGACCGCGAAATGTAATGATGATAAAATTCAAATACAGTTTTAATCTTCTTTAAATTATGTTTAATTATTTTGTTGGACTGCTGAGCATAGGACAAAATTTGCAGCTCTCCACCAGCAAGTGGTGGCGTCTCCATGAGTGAAAAATTCTCAAGAGGGTCTTTACACAACAAACGATCAATACATCCTTTATAAGCACTTGCACACATAAACACTTTGCAATCATTACACCCGATTGCTGAAGAATTTAAGTAAGAATCACACTAACATGAGCAGATAAGTGAACATACCTCCAGGCTCTAATTCCGAAGTATACCACCACAATGGCAGTGAGGCCTATCAACACATAAAATGCCCTCATCAACATCCCTTTGTTTTCTTTAAAGTTAAAAAAGCTACCATCTCCCACATTTTCTGTTCCATTCTTTGCTGTTTCATTGGCACCTGGTTTCGGTGTAGTCGTGCTTAATGTCGATGTACTGCTTTTGGGAGATGCAGTGCTTTCACCCGTGGCTTTATCCGCACTGTCACAAGGAATAACTGTCAAAATTACAATAATGAGGGAAATGTAAATAATTTTTGATGTCATGTTGACTGAACACTGTAATGTCATGATTTGACAAGTGAGTCAAGGCGTAAATATCACTCCAACATGAATAACAACATTTTTTCGACACATCACAAGATTCGACGGAAGTGATATGACGAGTAGGCATTAACTTGTACAATGCTTGAGTCGTGCAAAAATGTTGAATTATATTTTGAAAAATTTAAGCCTTCTTTATAGGGTTTGTAGAAGAAAATAAATTTGTTTATAATATGTTATAATATTTTGCACCCATATAATTAAAATATTCAACATATATACAATTCATTTTTTACGACTATAAATCGGCTGGTTTATCTAAATTGGACATTTTGGCGCAAAAATTGAAAAACAATATTCTCAGTAATTTCTTATTATGGAGTATAAAACTTGTAGTCAGTCACCATAAAACTGTTAGGTGTGTCACATAAATGACACCGACATTTTAAAAAACTGCATTAGATTTATCACTTCGTTCCTTCTTTGATAATGTAAGCAGCTGGTGTGTGATGATACATAGATATTGTGGTCTGTGGATGTTTTTCCATAGGTACAGCAATGGTTGACAGTAGGGAGAAGGAAGAATTTCTTAAACTTGCAGTGGATTTGCTACAGCTCAGCAAGACTGATCAGGTAGGAAAAGAGAGTATAGCCAGACTGCTGGAAATTCTTAATGATTGTACATTGTTTAACGTCCCTCAAGAGAATTTTTCACTCACAGTCATATGGAGACGCCACCTCTTGCCGGTGGAGAGCTGCAAATTTTGTCCTATACTGGGCACTCAGGGCCATTGAGCAAGGAGGGATCTTTTTTGTGCCAGCATCTACTGCGACCTCAGGGCTCGACATTAACTTTTTTTCCTACTTGTCCATTTGGACAAGTGACCAAGACATTTACTTGTCCGAATTTCAACTTCACTTGTCCGAAAATTTTTCAATAAAGTTCAATAGTTTCAACTTGAAAATTAAAATAAAGTCCTTTTATTTACACATATCATGCGCTTGATTGATTCTTGATGTTATTGATAAATACAACAGACACATAAAACGAAATTTAATTTAGGCTTTCTGTCCTGACAATAACATAAATGTCCACAAGTGAACCTGTCAATATCAAACAATATTCACAACTCGATTCGTATCTTCCATGACTTTTCAGTAGTATGCAATCAGGGCTCCCACTGGACCGAAAATATTTTTCGCCACTTTTCGCGACACAATCTTTAAGGAAAGGCATACGTACATCTGATTTCTCGACAATGCAATGCACTTTTTTTTAATTCAATTTTTTTTATTATGTTTATCTGACACAGACATTGTTTCAAAATTGTAATGTTTAAAGCTTATGGTAGTATCCATTTAAAAAACGAAAAAAATAATAATGTTGGAATTACACAATTAATTTGATATTGTATTGATATCAGCCAACTCTTGACAGAAAATGTCCTCTTGTTTACATTTTTTTTTTCACCTGGGAAGGGGGGGGGGCTCCAGACCTAGTAAAATATGACATTTTTTAAAAATAGAAATTTTCATTTTTTCATTAATTAAATTGTGAAGAGAAGTAAATTAAAAAGAAATGAAAATTAGGTTTGAAACTTGACTTTATTTTAACAACTTGGAGACTCCAGGGTTTAATATGCAAGCTCATGTTATTGTAAATAATTCAGTGTAATTTACTAACTAAAGTTAATTCTGTTTCCAAACCAATTTCTGTTTAATTCTTTGTCAGTTAACGGTATAATAATGTACACATTTTTCAATTTTCAGTAGGTAAAATTTGAAGCCATTCTTTACAATTTTCATCATGTTTCGATCCTACTTTCGGTTTAAAAAGAAACGATCTACATCATGTACATAGATCCAGATTTTGTTGATAAAAATCTTTTATTTATTAACTTCATCTCCCATTAACACTTTATCCCCCCTTGTTTAATCCAAATTATATCATTTCAAGCAATTTTGTATCCCTTTATTGCCCCAGGCTAGTTACCTAGTCAGCATTGTTCGTTCAAGCGAGACGTGATTTCCTACATGTAGGTTTCAGTTTTCACACCTCTGCTGCATTAATTAAGTAAACAAAGGGACTTATCTGTGTACATTGAATAAACAAAGGAGCTAAACGGGACTACATAAATTTTGTACATGGTACATCTAAAAAAATAATTTTCGCCACTTATGAATTTCTTTTCGCCACTTTTGAAAAAAATTCGCAATTGGCGACAATGGCGAATCACAGCTCGAGCCCTGTATGCAATTAGTGAACTTAATTCGATCCCGATCGAATGTGAACTCAATATTAATATAGCGATACATATCGGGATCGAAGTTTAGATTTTATGTACAGCATCCGTCTTGAGACTACCGAATTAGCTCAACCAATTGGATTTAGCTTTCAACAGCCGTTCTTTTTATTATTTAGAGACCCCTTTACATTAAAATGCACTTGTTCAATCGGACAAGTGCCCAGCAATATTCACTTGTCCGTATTTATTTTTCATTTGTACCGGACAAGCGGACAAGCGTTAATGTCGAGCCCTGGACCTCGGTTTATGCAGTCTCATCCAAAGGACCGGTCTCCATGTCCCACGATGGGATTCGTACTTGCGACATAAGGATTGACTCCTTACTTCACGACTTCGAGAGCAGACGCTCTAAGCAGCGGGTGACGATGATAAAATGTTGCAGATTTAGAACTCGCTCATCAGAAAAAAAATGGGATTGATGACTAGACAGTAATCCGAGATTCTTCTGACTCTTACACTGCTTGTCCATTGCACATGCCACAATATAAAATCAGGCCTGGTGTAAAAGTCAAAGTAATCTCGGATGAACATGGAAAAATAAATAGAGAAATACCACATTTTTGTGGACAATAAACAGGTAAATAATTTATTGTCCCCAGCTGAAAGTGAGGGATATTAATTTCGGTCTGACTCTGTCTGTCTGTCTGTAGTTCTGTCTGCGTGTAACGCTTTCAGTTCCATGTGATTACATCTTCGAGAAGCCCTTGATCTTTTGCAATTAAATTTTGCACAATAACTCTCCATGGCCTAAGGAAGATTAGTTTTGGTTTTGAGGTCCAAAAGTCAAGGTCATAAATTTAAAAAAAATCTGTCTGTTTTATAAGTTTTGTTTCCACACAATATCTCAATAAATCTTTCAGCTTTTGCATGTTTTGCGATTGTATTTTATCATGTTTATTACACAACTCCCTTATGGCTTAAAGAGACCCAATCTAATCCAATAATATACAGTTATTGACTCTGTGGTGAATATAGCTTTTAGATTATTTACTTGAGAATTAAGAAAGGGTCTTTGGAAAACATTCATCCCCTTGTTCACTTGAATTATAATTAGTTTATATACAGTCTATCATGTTATCATCAGGCCATCTGTTTTTACAGGTAAATTTGATTCTGTATCGTAAACAAATGCTGTTACATGTTTTAATTGTGATAATGTGATACCATTAGATCTTTTTATTTAATTTTTTTCAGGAGGTGTGTTGGTTGGGATCCCTATATCAGACTTTCCTCATCACAAGAGGTAGATGTACCTCGACAGATCAGTATCAGCAGTTCTTGTCTGGAATAAAGCGAGTTGTAAAGACCAACATTCTGGACTACAGCATTGTCACTGTCAGGGAACTACTGGACAGTCCCAGAAATCTCACCGTGGACTGCACGGCTACCAGTAAAACTGTCAGAGAGCTAGATAGGTATTGACCAATGTCAGGGTTCAAAATTTGCTGTATACAAGTTGCAAACATGCCAGTTAAATTATCATAATTGTGAATTGACAATTTTTTATACTAGCATAAAAAAAATGTGAGTTGATTTTTAACAAGGCAACTAAGTAATTATATAAAATCCAGTAATCATCATGCTTATGAAGTTCGTGTCCTGCCCTTAAATCTTGGTGACCTTTGATTTTAGGAAGATTTTATCTGGGAGGTTTGTTTACACCTGTGAGTCAAAAGGATGGACTAGCTGTCATTCACCTGGAGGATAACACAGGATCCATTCCCTGTCAGGTATTACTATGACAGACCACATATTACACAGGATCTATTCCCTGTCAGGTATTACTATGACAAACCACATATAACACGGAATCTATTCCCTGTCAGGTATTACTATGACAAACCACATATAACACAAGATCTATTCCCTGTCAGGTATTACCATGACAGACCACATATAACACAGGATCTATTCCCTGTCAGGTATTACGATGACAAACCACATATAACACAGGATCTATTCCCTGTCAGGTATTACCATGACAGACCACATATAACACAGGATCTATTCCCTGTCAGGTATTACCATGACAGACCACATATAACACAGGATCTATTCCCTGTCAGGTATTCTGTGACAGACCACATATAACACAGGATCTATTCCCTGTCAGGTATTACTATGACAGACCACATATAACACAGGATCTATTCCCTGTCAGGTATTACTACGACAGACCACATATAACACAGGATCTATTCCCTGTCAGGTATTACTATGACAAACCACATATAACACAGGATCTATTCCCTGTCAGGTATTACTACGACAGACCACATATAACACAGGATCTATTCCCTGTCAGGTATTACTATGACAGACCACATATAACACAGGATCTATTCCCTGTCAGGTATTACTATGACAAACCACATATAACACAGGATCTATTCCCTGTCAGGTATTACTACGACAGACCACATATAACACAGGATCCATTCCCTGTCAGGTATTACTATGACAGACCACATATAACACAGGATCTATTCCCTGTCAGGTATTACGACAAACCACATATAACACAGGATCCATTCCCTGTCAGGTATTACTACGACAGACCACATATAACACAGGATCTATTCCCTGTCAGGTATTACTATGACAAACCACATATAACACAGTCAACCTAAATAAATAGAGAAACAATGTCAAATACAGTTGCAAATTTTGTTGTTACTACCACAATAACTTGAAACAATAGACAAATAATTTTTTTTACTCTGCACAAAACTACAACTAAGCCCACTCTGTAGTTGCCCTGCTGTTGTGTTTATTTTATTAGAATATTTTCTGTATCATTTCCTTTTTTGCT